CCGAGGCGCCACCGCAAGGGAGGTAAATTGTCCTCCTTTATGAGGACCATGCTGCATGTCCGATTATTCCACTTGAAAGCTGGCCAGAAGAGTGCGCTCTCGACGACGGTGATGACGATGAAAATGACGACGATGAGGAGATGTTGGCGCCGCGACCTATTCTAGTACTTTCACTTCCACCTGCCACCGCCAGCACTGCCGACAAGAAGGAGGAAGTGGATGTACAGCCAGTTCCAGCAGGCAGGAAATTTTAAACAATTAGCTGTTGTGATCTGTGACTCTGTGACTGTGTGCTCCAACCGAGACAAAAATTGCGGTATGGATTCATCCCAGTCAAGCTTAACCTTGGTGATAGTTGGGGCTAATAATCCAAGTGGATCACAGAATGGTGGTTGCGGTCGGGTTTAAAATGGCTGCTCGCCTAGAGCATCCTCCTTTGAAATGATTGTTGTAGAATCTGAGCCACTTCTCTTTAATGTGTCTGAAATTGACTTAGACTCAGACTGAGTGCTGGGTTCTTGAATCGAGAAAACTAAAGTTGATCGCGTAGAGGCTCCTACCATTAAACACCCCGAGACGATCCAGCCAAGTCTGGTTTTCTGTAGGGTGGGTAAATGGTTTCCTAATCGAATTTGTCCAATGCAAAGCAACTCAAAGAATAAACTTACTCCAATAAGTATGTCAATGCGCTGACTTTTGTAGAAGTGATGGTCGGCGAGCTCGAGATTTTCTGGTATCTTCCACTCAGATGAGTTCAGGTCGAACTGTGGGTGATAATCGGTGATTAACCGAGTAACGACAGCTACGAGGGACGTGTTGTACTTGGCATCAGCGGATAGTGCGAAAATGCTGACCGACTTATCTGATGCTAGAGAGGACTCGCCGATCCCTGATATAGAGATGGTTGATCGATGGATTTGGAGTTGCAGTTGATTTGCGAAACGAGAGGTGACGAAGTTGATTTGAGAGGCCGAGTCAAGTTTGTTACAGCATCCTGCCACGCCCACTCTAACGCCCACAAATCACGGAAAAGTAAAATCTTTGGAATGTCAGGAACTATTAAAGCTAGAAAATTGAGATTAAGTATGTATAATCTTGAGATGCCAGCGCATTTTATGGTGGTAACATTATCCGGCCACACCTACTGTTACGCCCAACAAACCGAGCACAACAACTCTAAAGCCCACAAATCGCGGAAAACTAAAGCATCACAAATATTATAGTGTATGTCTTCGTTTGACTTTGCATAACATATTTTTGTCAATATCTATCGACTTACCAAAGATTTTTTAAATCGGAACACTATTTCGCTATTTATGAAGAAATGCAGGTTGTAGCGTCTCACATGGGCAGTGGCGTCACTATCAGTTACTCAACACGCTTTCTCTGACAATAGGACGCACTTTGTGATCTATTTTTATACCCGATACTCATAGAGTAAAAGGGTATACTAGATTCGTTAAAAAGTATGTAACAGGTAGAAGAAAGCGTTTTCGGCCCTATAAAGTAGATCTATTCTTAATCAGTATCAATAGCGAAGTCGATTAAGCCATGACCGACCGTCTGTTCATATGAATGTCGAGATCTCAGAAAGAGTTGACATTAAGCAGGCAGATTCTTAAGGTCCCTACACAGCGCAAGTTTGTTACAGTACCTGCCATACCAACTCTAACGCCCACAAATCAGGGAAAACTAAAATCTTTGGAATCTCAGGAACTATTAAAGAAAGTTGAGATTAAGTATGTGTAGTCTTGAGATTCCAGCGCAGAGGGTTTTTGTATTTTGTAGATGACTATAAGTTATAGAAATTCGAACGTTCTATTACTTAAGCATGTCGATTTTTATGATTTCCCAAATGTGAACAGTTTTTCCCATCTAGCTACTCGCACCCGAATGCCCACAAAATCTGAAAAACCATACTTTCAAAAATACCAGGAACCGATGCTGGAAAAGATGCCATTGCACCTCGTCATCAGTTTTCATCCGGCCACGCCCACTTTAACACCCACAATCCGTGGAAAACTGTGACATCCATAATATTACAGTGTATGTCTTCGATTGACTTTGTATAACATATTTTTATCAATATCTATCGACTTAACAAAGATTTTTAAATCGGAATACTATTTCGCTATTTATGAAGAAATGTAGGTTGTAAGGCCTCACATGGGCAGTGATGTCACTAGCAGTTACTTAACATGCTTTCTCTGACAATAGGAGGCACTTTGAATTTCCACTAGCTATTTTTATACCAGTTACTCGTAGAGTGAAAGGGTATACTAGATTCGTTGGAAAGTATGTAACAGGTAGAAGGAAGCGTTTACGACTCTATAAAGTATATATATTCTTGATCAGGATCAATAGCGAAGTCGGTCCGTCCGTCTGTCCGTATGAACGCTAAGATCTTAGGAACTATAAGACATACAAAGTTGAGATTAAGAATAACGATTCTTGAGGTTCATACGCAGCGCAAGTTTCTTTCAGAATCCTGCCACTCTAACGCCCACAAGTACAGAAAAACTAAAATCTTTGGAATCTCAAGAACTATTAAAGCTAGAAAGTTGAGATTAAGTATGTATAATCTTGAGATGCCAACGCATCTTATGGTGATACCGTTATCCGGTCCCACCCAATTTTACTCCCACCAAGCTTAAAAGATGGTTTTCGCATTTTCTAGAAAAGCTTATATCTCGGTAACTATAAGTGATAGAAAGGTCGGATTAAACATGTAGGTTTTTAAGATGCTCCCAATTGTATAACATCTTTTTTGTTAATATCTATCGATTTACTAAAGATTTTCAAATCGGTGCAATATTTGCTATATATGAAGATATATAGGATATAAGGCATCACATGGACAGAGACGTCAGAATCATTTAGTTAACATCCTCTTTTACAAAATGTGGCGCTTTGTCTTATTCAACTCGGAACTCGACTAAAGCGTTTTCTCGTTTTGAAATATTTTTCGCTAATTTCAATTGTTAATTACGCATGTTTCATTGTTTTCGGTTCGGTAAAGAGAGTCAGAAAACGACCCTATTCTTAATTAAATTGCAATTCGATGCATTGCAGCTTCCTTCTTCGGCAGCGGCGTCACGAGCCTCAAGAGCTCTGCTATTACCATCGCAGCTTCGGAAATGCTGCACTCAGGTGCAAATTTCTTTGCACGTTTAAGTCCAACCAAACATTCTACTAGAAATTTGACATTATATCAACATCTCACACCACAGATTCCTCATAGATTCGTCCACAAAACCTGAAAAACCATACTTGCAAAAATACCAGGAACCGATGCTGGAAGAGATGCCATTGCACCTCGCCACCAGTTTTCATCCGGCCACGCCCACTATATTATTTGCTATATATGTATGAAGATATATAGGATATAAGGCATCACATGGACAAAGACGTCATAATCATTTAGTTAACATCCTCTTTTACAAAATGTGGCGCTTTGTCCTGTTCAACTCGGAACACGACTAAAGCGTTTTCTCGTTTTGAAATATTTTTCGCTAATTTTAATTGTTAATTACGAATATTTAATTTTCATCATCTCACACCACAGATTCCTCATAGATTCGGCCTCTGAGTTCTCAACCATGCCCCGCTCACGAGCTATGCAAAATATCAAACAAAGATATCTTTCTTTATATGCGACAAACGGAACCGTCATTAACACCTACGGCAGATTGGTGGTTGACCTAAATATTCGCACGCAAAATATAACTGTGCCCACTAATGGCAAATACAAATTACGAATCCTATTTTAAGAATATCCTATTTCATTTCTATATATTATCGTCCATGCTGCTGTCTGTTTTAAAGAAAAGCCGAAATTTTTGATTTTGTGTGTTTTATTTTTGCAGTGACGTGCTTATGTTTCACCAGCAAGAAAGAACGAATGTGAGATGAGCCTAGAGATCAGCGACTTATCTCGGCCTATCTGCATGAAAAACAATTCAGCATTTATATTGTTGTTGTCAGGGATGCTGACCAAATAGAAAACAGTGATTTTAATTTAGCAAGTGAATAATAATATTCTCTGTTGAGCATGGACATGGCTTTATCAGCTATTGATACTGATCAATAATATATGATAGAATAGAATATATTTATAGCGTCGAAAAGCTTCTTTAACTTTACATATCTCAACGAATAATATCTAGTAGTGGGAGGTCAGTTGAGCAGACGAACCGTTGCGGTGTTACATGTATAAGGTATAGATCTATCTCATAAGCTCTATGAGTAGATATCAATCATAATATCAGATCAGTATATCAGAATCGGATATCAGATATCAGTAGATATCAGATATCAGTAGATATCGATATCAGTAGATATCAGATATCAGTAGATATCAGATATCAGTAGATATCAGATATCAGTAGATATCAGATATCAGTAGATATCAGATATCAGTAGATATCAGATATCAGTAGATATCAGATATCAGTAGATATCAGATATCAGTAGATATCAGATATCAGTAGATATCAGATATCAGTAGATATCAGATATCAGTAGATATCAGACATCAGTAGATACTATCAGATATCAGCGTTTTTTCAGTCAGACTCCTCAGTTTTTGTGGCTCGTTAGAATTATAGTATACATTGGCGGCTGCTGAAGCATAGTTGAGCTAGGCTAGCATCTCTAGTGGTTCGTTTTCAATGCTTAGTTTCAGCTGTTTAGAAGGGGCGAAATGGCATTAAGCTTGCGTCTCTCACGGTCACTTGGATCAGCATGGCTAATTCCAACATTCTATCTTGTATAATTCCGGAGACCTTTGCGCTCATACGGACACAAGTATGGCCGTTAATAAGTTGACAATTTATGCACTATAGGGTCGAATATCGGTTCCATCTATATTTCAAATGCTTTTCAAAAAATAAATTATATATTCTACGGTTAAGCGATGAATAACTTCTTGGTATAACCACTTATTGATTTTTATTTCTGAGAATTTTAAACCATAATTTTTATATTTGTTTTATTTATAGATTTGCGATTTTTGGATTGGCTCGCATTGCAGATCCCGAACACGACCATACTGGATTTCTAACAGAATACGTTGCTACTCGGTGGTATAGGGCACCAGAAATTATGCTGAACTCGAAGGGATACACCAAATCAATCGATATCTGGTCCGTTGGATGCATTTTAGCTGAAATGTTAAGTAATAGACCTATATTCCCTGGAAAACATTATCTGGACCAACTGAACCATATTCTGGGTGTACTGGGTTCACCTTCCCGTGATGATTTGGAATGCATTATAAAAATGAAAAAAGCAAGTCAAACTCTTTTCTTTAAATTAAATTTCGGTAATATAAAATATGGACTTTAGGCTCGAAACTATTTGGAATCATTGCCTTTTAAACCAAATGTTCCCTGGTCGAGACTTTTTCCAAATGCTGATACGTTAGCATTAGACCTTCTCGGAAAAATGTTGACCTTTAACCCGCACAAACAATTCCTGTCGAAGAAGCCCTTGTATTATCCGTATTTGGAGCAGTATTATGATCCTGGAGATGAGGTATGAAATATAACCTATAAACCATCAAAGTAAATGCATTTAAAAAAACATTCTTAAATAATTTTTTGTACCTATACAAACCAAAAAAGCTCTAATTAAAATACTTTAAAAAACAAATTTCTGGTTCTAGCATATTTCCGTAAGACCAGGAAAAGGTTTTAGTCGGGGGCGCCTCTTAATTTGCTTTGACGCGTCTTGAGGGTCATCGAGGCCTGTATGACCTCAACAAGTTTTTTGTCTATGACTGAGTGGAAAGATTTATTATATCTGGCGGCTAATAACTTAATTCTACCGTATTAGGCATTATGCCTTTGGCTGATTTTAGCTTAAGTTATCAAGCTCTATTAGCGTGCTATGAAAGCGCTCCGCTTGTCCATTGGAGACACTGTGGAGGGGCGGCGCATTCGATATGTTGACCCCAAAATGTCCAGCGAGTTCAGTGATAGTTAAATGTCGCCGTACATGGCTTACGCTTTAAAGGAAAAAATTCAAGAGTTGTAACATGGGTGATTTTAGATCCTCTATGGTTTTGGTAACGGAATCGGCTGCACCACAGCAAATTTGAAACATTTTCGATATAGGAGAGGAAGTACTTTTTGTTCGTGAGACCAATATGTAGGTTTTATCCTGACACTGGGCCGGAATTGGTGTTTCGGCTAGCTCCTGTATTTTCGTAAGGCCTGACGTATTCCCTTTTTGGCACTTGTTTTGCAATTAGGGACAGACCCCATTTTATAACTTTTACGGGAATGTAGTACTCAGACCTAAACCCTATTTCACGGTTCTTGGGACCACACAGCGAACTCTGCTCTGCACGACATGATGAGGATTTCTTTCTTGCCCTCGAGTGCCGGGAAATATAATACACCCCTTCGTTTGAATTTACGCTTGTGCCGTGTGTCACAATGAGGAAGCATTTACAACAAGTAAGAATAATGGTGTTTTACCATTTTTTCAACAGATGCAAAGTCCAAAAGAAGGATAAGCAG